TCTCCCAAAACCTGCTTATTTATATGCTTCACGAAATCCGAAACTCTCTAGAGGAATCTTACCTTTATCACTCATCTCCGATTCCTAATGAGATCTTCAAACCTGTTGTGATTTTCTAGGAAAAGAGCTACGCTCCTCAGCCTCCATAGAAACACAATTAACGCCAAGGCCTGTGAATATGCGTGAATAAAATCCCTTTTGGTTCGAGATCGTTTCCACAAAATGAAAGTTGGTTAATGCAATGAAGATCTCGGAATTGCGGAGATTCCAAAGTCTCATAACTAACGATTTCTGATAACAAATCTGATAGGAATAACGGGCTCAAAGCTCTTATTACCTTTTCGAGTTTCGTTTAGCATGTTCTTATCATGGTATAGAAGTATTTCCAAGCTAAAATAAAACGAAAAAAAAATACGTATAACGATCATCTATACTACACAAGAATGTTCCACAAACTTCTATATAGAAATTAGGTCACACGGAAACATGTGGATCTAACCTATGATCAACTCTGTAACTCGAATACATGTCACGGGTAATAGAAACGTGCTATATAATACGTAAAAAATATGATTATCATGATCGCGAACGAAATTAGTATTTTTAACTAAGCTTATTCGCATTTTGATAATACCGATCCTGAGCATGTTTCATAAATGATCCGCCTGGTCGATAGAGCCATTTAATTACAGCATTTTGGATTATTTTAGCAGAATTAATTTGTTTTCTCCGTAGACGATATGCCTGCTGGATAATTAATGATGCACGATTTTCTTTATGCAATGCTAGTTGAACTTTAAAATCCCTATATTTAGGGTCATTACCTATTTGCTTATGGGTAGTTAAATTATTTTTGATACGAAATACAAAATTTTTCCAGTAATCTCTATTATTAATTTCATATCCAGGTATTAATAAACGCTTGCGTATATATTTTGGTGGATAATTTCTTGCAAACTGTAACCATGCTTCTGACGTTTTAATATTGTTAACAATATAATTTGCACCATATTCACTTAACTTATCTCGTACTGACATGTTGTTCATATATATCACAAATGTGTGGATTTTATTAACTAAGACTTTTTATTTAATAGATAATCTATGTCGCAGTTACAATATAAGGACGCGATCAATCTCATACCTGCTCCAGTAGTTCCATCATATTCCAATCATCTACATATCCCAAATTATTTTCATACCCCCCATCATATGTGTACCCCCAGGGAATTTTTTCATTAGCTATTTGCTGTATATTATTTTTAGCGATTTCTTTTTCTTGCCCATGAAACATTCCATTGGCAAACATATACCTTTCAATCTCTACCTGTTTTTTAGCGGTCTCAAGTAGCTTTGCAAGATATTTAAGCTCTATATCATATTCCAAATATCCTTGATCTTCTTCATCATCTGAATGACTCTCTAGCGTTTTCTTTATTTTCTCATCTTTTTCAAGCTCTAATTTATGACCCTTTAACACTTGTATCTCCCACCTTTTTCGGAGTTCGTATTGAATTTCTTTGTACCAAGTTTTATTAATCCAACAGAATTTGTCGAGATCCTCTAACGAAAGTTTTGGGGTGATTTCACTAATAATATCCGGAAGTGTAAATGGATTATATGTATGCATGTTTATTGTATATATCAATCGTGTGGATTTTATTTAATTGTTATAGCGGAGCTAGTGTCTTTGTCACATATTTATTATCGATCATAAAAAATAGATATATATATACATTACGATAAGTAGAACGATTTAGTAGGGTATTTATTCTTCCGGAATTTCACAATCACCAAATATATATGGATCGTTTTCTCCATCTTGAGATATCCATAATTTTGTATCTAGTGGGTTAACACTTCTCTTTGTTTGCTTTATTCTATACATTCGATGTCTATAACTTCGGAGGAATTGTGCGGTTCTAGGTACATCTTCTTTCCCCTCTAAAACACAGTCCTCGAATATTTTATGGGTAAGCTCTTTCTTGATAAGAGATTTTTTAAGACCCTTTGCTTTTATCATATTTTTTTGTGGATTTTCTGTAATAACACTGTAACATTTCGCTCTAACTCCAGCATAACCAGTAACTCTAATGCCTGCATTTTCATCTTTCCACTTACCTATAACCTTAGTATTTTTTAAAACACGCTTACCTTCTTCATTAATTATCCACTGATCTTCTGGAAGATTCTTTACTAGCCAATGGTCTTCTGGATAGTCACTAAAATCAAATAAATCGCAATCATCAATCATGTCTTGATAAATATTTTCAGTTTCAATTTCTATGATTAAAGAATCTGTATCGGTGTATAAAAGTCTCACTCGATCTCCATATTTCGGTTTGAGATATCCGTACCAGAAATCATACATATAATATTTAGAAAGATCGAGAATACATGCTCCTACATATTCAGGTTTATTTAACTTTATATTAGTCTGTCTTCGATGCACTGCCACTAAATTTGCTTCATAGAAAATTTTCCGACTGACAAATGCTGGATCTGAAATTAGTCTACGTAATCTCCGTTCTTCACCTACCTGTCTAACCAAATCAATATTTACTCGTTTCCTCACATCCTCCATAGTTTTTCCAAATACTGAGTTATTCATTAACTTCCAGAAGTCTTTTTCGAATGCATTTTTTGCTTTTGCTCGTCGTTGCGTATTCATTGCTATATAGGGTTCCATCCATGGAGATTGCTCGAAACCTAAAACTCTATATACTTTTTCCAGAACATACCCCTCTCTTATACACTGCTGTAGATTTCTATAATGAATAACGTAGTTATCTTTATCATGAAGAGTTAGAATAAGTTTTTCAGTATCTGAACGTTGTTTACCCGCCCATTCTTTTTGCTTTGAACTATACCAATCATATGGTACATTCTTTCGTTCTGGACACATTGGATAATCTCGAAATTTGGGGTGTAATTCTTTTGGAATCGATAACTTAACCTCTAAACAACATCCTCGATTTGATTTTTCTTTTAATGATAAAATTTTCTGCACTAATGGGGAAGTCGCTTCGATGGGTTTTGTTGATAGCCATTTAAATCCCCCGGTTGGTAAATATTGACTCATTGCCCAACCATACAGATTATTTGCATCTAGATACAAAAGCCACTTTTTCGCTTTTTTTCCATCGTACCCTTCTAATCCTGGAATATTTGCTCGAGCTATACGTCTTCTAGCTAAGGACATTCCTCCTCTTTTCATTGCTGTAAAGAAGTCATGCATATCCCCTTGATGCTCATTAAATAATTCTAGTTTTACTTTAGTTACCTTCATACAAGCGTCCCACCTCAAGCCTGGAGCTGTTAGATAATTTGCTGGATCTAACTTGAATGCTGAATATGAAGCTTTTCGGAATGCTTCGAATGCATCTGCCAAAATTAATACATCAGATTTAAGATAAATATCGTGATAATCTCCAAAAGTTTTACAGCCAGTTTCTTTCCATACTGTATGAGCAAAATCGTAATCCTTTTGGGATATTGTATAGACTTTCTCGTGTTCACATTCTTTGTCTTCTTCACATTTATTACAATTACCTGGTTCTTTTTTATGCTTACATTTCTGACATTTATGTTCGCATTTACCTATCTTTTTTCCATGTTCACATTTTACGATTCTGCAATTGTGGTCGCAATAATTATATCCATCTAAGTCACTGTTAAAATCTATACGTGACGGAAGTTTAGTCTCATTAAATTTCTTTTTGCTATTTAACCATTGGTATGGGAATATTTCTTTGTGTGTTAATAGAGATAGCAAATGAGGTGAGATGAATTTTGACATAATAGGAAAGCATTTGGCAAGTTGTTCTGGTGTTTTAGTTTGACCCTTCTTTTCATCACGTAAGTTTTCTGCCATCTTAGCTAAACTAGGTAACGAAAATTTTACACTATCAATAAATTGAAGCTGACCAACTGAAAAGGTAATATATTGCTCAGAATTATTTGCTATAGGTACTATTTTTTCATCCGTAACTTTAGCTATTTCTTGCATAAGATGATGAAAATCATAGCCACTACCATTACAAAATAGTACAGGAATTTTTATTGTTTCTGGATCAATCCGTAATTTCAGATTGCATTCATTATGCGATGCTCCTCGAAATTTTCCTGTAATATGGTCATGATCTAATACCCTATTTTTTCCTTCATCTGACAATTGAGTTTCACAATACATACATACTTTACAAGATTTATGTTTTTCTTTTTGTTCATCATCTAACTTACCTTGAATCATTGGTTTTTTTCCGTGACATTTCCTATGCGAAGCACCTAAATATTTTTTAGTTTCAGGTTCGAATACACGAATTTTATTATATTTAGCTACATGTAATTTACCTTCACAGTTCCAACACTTATTTGCCCTTTGATATTTTCGCCATAATTCAGGAGTCATTTTTTCACATGGAACTGGATCACAGAGCTTATCTAAAATAATATCTAGATCTTCTTGAAGATTATACATTAAGTCCTTTATTACGTTTTCTGATTCACGATTAATTAGTGGTTTTTGTGTTGTTCCATCTGAACAATGTATCGTATATCCATATGAAACTGCTATTTGCTCTGCTACTTTTATAGTATTTCCTTCATTGTCTTTTTTCTCCACTTCGATCTCTTCACCTTCTAAATCTGCTTCGAATATATAAGGCTTCATCATCATATTTTTGATATAATTTGGTTTTACATAATTTTTACCTTCTTCCGGAAGAATTAATCGTTGAGGTGCTTTACTTGGACCTGGACATGTAAGAATATGCTTTTCTAATAAATCTAATTGACTATATGGGAAACACAAGCATTTTCGACAAAAGTATTTCTTTCCATGATGATTATTCCATTTACGCATCAATCGTGTAAAATCTGTTATAAGGACATAATGTGTTTTAAGTCCTTCTGGTATATCATTTTTGTTTTTTTGGTCATTTAAATTCTCTTCACCTTCTGTTAAATATAATAAATCTATCATATTGTCGACTTGGTAATTTCGTTCTGAAATATGTAATGGGTCTATATCTACTATTATTTTTCCGAAAGCTTCTTTATAAACTGGCCTAAATATATTAATAGCATAGTTAGGGTTAATTTCCTCGAATTTATCTATATCGTGTAATGTTGCTGGAAATTTTATGCCTTTATAATTTGCTATATTAGCATTTCATCTAAGTCTCCGGATTTCATTAAGATGCAGTGACTTTTTATTAGCTTTTTTTGCTTCCTCTCTTGTGTGATATGCACTTATACACTATTTAAAACACTCATTATCGTCCCTATTTTGCAGATTAATTAATCCTAGTTGAGGTTTATCTAAAGCTTCTGGTAAAGGTAGATAACTACTATCTCGCAATGGCCTAAAAGCGCTTATTTCAAGATATACTTTTTCTGATCGAACAAAAGACCATCCTGATTCTTGCAATGCTTCATCTTCTATCTGATCAATAATTTCGTTATATCCCTTTTCTATAACAGCTCCAATTCGATCTTCTCTTATAATTTCTATTGTTTCATGCTTGAATGGAATTGATTTATATTTAGGTTCTTGACTTTCTGGTGTAATTTTCTTCATGTATGCTATTAATACGATTCTTACCTTTAATCCAGCCTTTAAAGCTAACTCTCTTTTGTAAATATCAACAATCTTTTCTTCGATTGATTCAAAGAAACCTAATGGTTCATTTTCTGCATAATATCCTTTTGGCACGAATGCGTAATAATCACATACTTCACCTTCATTAAATTTTTCAGCTTCCAATATTCTATTAATATATGGGTCTTTGATTTTTTCGAAATAGATATTTGGG